AATCAGTGGGCTAATTTAGTAATCACATACCCTTAATCCCAGCATCACACACTTTAGGTTCAGCCACCTCTATAAAAGCCACACCGAGGGCCACATGAGACTTTGGGGGGCACCTGGACACAAATCATAACATTTCATAAAATTCTGCAATTGTTTATATTTCTAGTGCCTAGGAAATTTTCATATGGCAACATAAAAAGATGTGCCTCCCTCTTTTTAGCTGCTATATAGTATTTCATAGTATGGCTCAAGTTTCACCCACCAGAGATGTTCCTTTCGGGTGATGCCTGGATTCAGCTGGCCCTCCAGGAGCTGAAAACTCTCTCCCAGCCTAGTTGTTGTATGCTTTTCCCAGAACACTATTGTACACTGAAGACTTGAATAGAGTTTATTAGATAAACCTACTGATAAGTCTCAACATGCGCTTTGAGGTCATCAAGCAACACCTCATAACTCAAGGATTCCTCTTGCTAGTAGCCCAGATAGCACCCCCAAATCCAGTCCTCCCAAAGCACTGAGCATTGACTACGCGGCTGTAAGGATTAGCTCTTCCTGGTTCAATCCCTAGCACCACAGTAAACAAATAAGTAAATAAATAATCTATTTAATTAAATGAAGGGTGTTGGGGATGTAGGTCAGTGGCAGAGCTTGAGGCTCTGGCTTCAATCCTCAGGACAGACAAAATAGATTGAAGTTTTAGGAGGTCTAAACATAAATAGAATATTACTTGAAAAAAGAAATGTTAGAAGCTTTCTCTGGAACAGAAATCAGCAAGACTTGGTTCTACATCCATGCTTTATTATAATCAGAAACTCCACAAATGAAACAGAAGACATTGGTACCTCACGAGGAAACGAGCCCCTTCCAACCCCTTCCTTTCAGAAGCACGTGGTCGATGACCCCAGCATGCCTGAATTCTGTCAGTTATATTACTTTCATTTCTAACAATTTTGTTCTGGATATTTAAGATGTGCCAAACGAGTCACATAAATATAAAGATTTTTTGAATTATTGTGTCTCATCAGTTATCTTTTATGAGTGTATAATTCAAAAACATCAGAGAAATCTCAACTTTAAAAAGTTCTTTTAGAGCAAAAATGAAACAGAACAATTGGTAGTAAAGTAACTTTTGGTCAGAATAATTAAGAAATTGACATAATTGCCATATTTTTGGAAAAGTTAAAGATTACATTATACTAATTTGGAGCTGTATTTTATCAGAAGCTGTGGCATAGTCTGATGCCAAAAAAGACATTTTAACACATGGTACACAGTATCACGAAATACTTTATCCATAAAATTCCAAAGAAAAAATCTGAATTTACAAGTTGCAGTTAAAGAAACCAAGTTTACTGCTGCTTTTAAAGCAAGACACTGATAAACCAGGCTATACTTATGCTATGAAATATACCTTCAGTCTTCATGCTCAGAATTTTCAGTTTGTTACAAACATGTGTCAGATAGCATTTAGAAAAATATTATTCTGGTATAACTTTCTTTCAAACTACATGTGCACCAAAAGATACAATGTGTGTTAGAAACTGACATTATGACATAAATTACTGGATCAGTATCAAAACTTGATGAATTTTCTTAATTGGAAAATATCATTGAAGCCCTGAGTTTTCAGATGCTAATTAGATTAAGAAACATGTGCTTTGGGGTCTACTCAGCTGTTCTCTTTTTGATCCTAATACATAATATGCCTTGATAGGTAAGGTTTTAAGTAAAGTATATAAAAAAAGAAGCAGCATAAGTGAAAGAACTTTTGTGGCGCTGTGTTAAATAAGCACACTTTGTCATTAGGAAATGCAAATTATGGGGTAAAATTACCTTGATAAAATAAGGTTGTGAGAATGTGTGATTTGGTACCACAGCCTGGTAAGAGGAGAAACGTCAATCTGAGAGGCGGCAGAGAGATCCAGCTCTACTGAATGGTATCTTCATTCATACTTTACTTGGTGCTCAGTGAAATGATACAAGTCCTAGTCCAAGTCCTGCTTTGGAAAATTTGGCCTATTTTTATACATAAGTATTTCTTACATATTTGGGGGGAAAATTAATTTTTCTTTTTTTAATTTCATTTTTCATGAAATTATAAAGTACTTTTTATAATGTCGCGTATGAACATATTAAGTGCATTCTGAAGACATGAATTGCTAAGCTTGTGAACTATCATTACACACGAGGTTATAAGTCATAGCTCTAGTAAACTCATATTAAAAAGTCTCATCAAGGTGGCTTTTTTATTGTAAGGGTCAAATTTTGATCTCAATAGGCCCTAACTGATAAATTTCCATCCAAACAATGTTCTTCCTCTTCCTGCTCGGCTTGCCCTCTTGTTTATCTTACTTGGGTACTGCTGGCTCCATGTGCCCACTTTGTTATCTGCCACGTGGTAGATATCTTTGCCACTTTGTTATCTGCTTCCTCAGATGTGTGATAATCTTCACTGCCTTTGCCTCCAGGGTTGAGATCTTCCGTTACACTGCGCTGTCTGGTGGGGCCATCAGCTGCCTGGGGAGGTTGCTGCTCTGGACCTCCTCTGGCCTGTCTTCACGGTAAGCGGAAGAAGGACAGGCCACCGAGTGAGATTTCTCTGAATTATTCAGGTCTGATGCCCTGATAATGGCCAGCCCTGTGACCCATGGACATCCTTGTCTAAGCTGAGCTTCGTGACCACAACCTCTCCCTGGAGGCTGTCCCTTTGTTGTTACTCTTTGGTACCAGAGTGGAAGGACGTCACTGGTGGGGGATAGGTTTCTTGCCTCTCTTTCAGTGGTCCCCTGAGGACTTACGTGCTGACTTTCCTGGACCCCTCCTGCTTCTGGTTTCCACTCTCCGTGGGATGGAGCAGTCATGCCGCTCATCTCCTCTGCGTAGCAACATTTCTCAATACACATTTTAGATAATTTCTGCTTTGAATCAAGCCAGTTTATACACCCTAATGCAGTTTCATCCCAGGCCCCTTTTCAATAGAATCCTTAGTGAGGGCCCTTGCTTCAGTGGTAAAGAAACTCTACAACATACAAAGCTTACCATACTAAAGTAGATCCAGATTTCCTTGTCCACAACAACAAAGTTGCTAGACTTCCAAGAGCTGTGACTACACACTGGAATCATCTGGGGGAGCCTTTTGATTTAGTTAAATTAATTGGGATGAGGTACAGGCATTGCTATATTTGGTAAATTTTGTTTTATTTTGTTTTTGATACCGGGGATTGAACTCATGACCTCAAGCTTGCCAGGTAGGTGCTTGTGCCGCTGAGCTAAATCCCCAGCTCTGTTTTAAGACTAGGATCCATTTAATGGAATCATGTGGAGTGACCATTTCACAAGGCCATATATTACAAATGTGACCATTTGAGAAGTAAGTTGAGAGCATATGACAGTTTTTACTAAGTTTAGTAATCTTAGAATCTTTTTTCTAAGTTAGCAAATCTTTTTTCTTAAATTAACAAATTAAGTAATACAGAAATCAGGTGTAAACGCATTTCTGTATTATATGGAGCATGGGCCCCAGGTTAGTCTTCACAATGAAGAAAAGATGAAATTCAGACTGTGATAGCTGTAGCCTCCTAGGAAAGTCTTTAACCAAACTGTAATTTATTAGTAGGTGTTATGATTTAGAATGTTCCCCCAAAGGCTCATGTATTTGAAAGGTGATAGGATCATGGGAATGCTATACTCATCAGTGGATTTGTTCACCGATGAATTCAGTAGTTCCCATGCTATTAGGAATGGAGCCTGCTTGGCAGAACAGGTCACTGGGTGTGAGACCTAGAAGGGCAGTTTCTTGTCCCTGGCTCCTCCCTTCTCTATTTGTCTTTTTCCTAGCTGTCATGTCATTGTCATGTTTCTCTGTCTCTGCCAACATAAAATCCTCTCACAAGGTACAGTAGGCAGGACCCCAGGAGCTGAAGTCTTCCCAAGAAACTATGATGAATGACTGCTGCATCCTGTCCAGATGCCCAGTGCTGGCCGTGGCTGCCTCTGCATTTGTGGGCACTGAAGGAAAGGAAAGATCAAGTTCTCGAAACAGAAACAAAGCAACTGCCAACAACATCAAAAAAACAGGCTCACATACAAACAATTTTATGTCCCTGTTAGGGACATTGTCTCTCCATTCTGGCAGCTTTAAGCTTCTGGGTTCCTGCTAGGTTGCTGTCTGCAGTTTCATTTGCCTTAAGCTGAGCTTACTTACAACCATGACTTTCAGGCTCCAGGAATTAGTGAAGGCATCCTATTTCCCACGGCATCTCATCTCCTGAAAAGTCCCCAAAAGACGTGCATACTCTTCTGTTTCTCAGTTTCAAAGTCTTACCTTCTCAGAAGACTCAACCCAATGACTGATCCTCATTCTATGATAAAACAAGGGCCACCAGTGAGCAAAGACCGTGAAAGTTGCCCACAATGTGGAGGTGGTGCTAGAGGATGTGTGAAAGCCAGAAAAGAGGCCAAGAAAGTTGTGCAGAAAAGGATGTGGCCACATATTTGCCTAAGTGATCATCTAGTATTTTGGTTAACCTGTCAAATCTTTCAATCCTCAAATGTACCCCAGAGTGACCTCTAAAAGTTTTTTTCTGATATCACATGGTCTTGTTGTACGTCATCCTTCAAAATTGCTATGCTTTCATTGTGCCACAATTTTGTAACACTTCTAAACAACCACTTCTCCTTGCACTGCAGCTTCCTGGAAGGGTGTGAACTCAGGGCTCTGATGTCACGGCTGTGGTCTGCAGGAGGTTGCTCACTCTCAGAGGGCTTTGATGTCAGAAACACGTCCATCGCATGCATTTTCTGGAAACAACATGATTAGCCTTTCAGTGATCTAAAGGTGAGCAACCAGCTGAGCATTACAAATGACAGGTAGATTGAAACTTAGTCATAGCCCTACAGTGAGCACGAACACGTAAACACGCAGGTGCGTATTATGAAATCATTTTTATATAAGGGGTGTTTGGGGGAGGTAGAGGTTCACCCTTCAACACAAGTTCTAAAAGGATAAAAATCCCAAACAGCCTTGAGCTGCATTAGCAAGCTGGTACATTCTTAGAAAACCACATATTAGGTGCAGTTTATCAGGGGAATCAGGCTATGTAACTGCTTACTCCCTCACTTAATATTCAAGTGCCTGGTAGTATCCACTTACTTGCACCTTCCTAAGGTGTTTCAGACACTCTATCAGAACCTCCACGAAGCAGGGCCAATAAACTCAATAGCCTTGAATTCCCAATCTAATCCTTATATAACTCAATAGTACCTTAGTGAGGCTTTGGATGAGGATTTACATTCTCTTCATCCATAAACTTGATGAATTGCATTTGGATAGCCTTACCCACACCCACCTATGCTAGATGTCAACTGATGCTGACTCACAGAAATGGGGGCAAAGAGCTGTACAATGGTTGTACATCCTCACTATTTGGGGCAGGAGCCTTGACACACCAAGATCCCTGAGTGTCTCAGGTGATGACCCTTTCTTCTGCTAGTGTCACAAACCGCTCTAGTGAGACCTAGAAGGAAAGGAAAGGAAAGGTCATCAAGATTTGGCAGAAAAGCAAGTAAATATCAAAAATATCAAAATATCCCCTAAACATATGAGTTAATAACTTGAGCAGAAATATAAGGAGGGAAAAAGGAAGGGTCAAGTCACTTATAGCTTGATATCTTCTATGACATAGCTGGGCTCAGATGGTAGGGGTGAAAGAAACCTGAAGGCATCCCCAGTGATGGGGGTCCTGAGACCCCCAAAGAGGTATGTGGAGGGGCCTGGTCTAGGAGACTAGTGTCTCCAGAAGACAACATGGTACACCATCAAGTTCCTTCCCCATACAGTTTTCTCAGTAAGGTGAGTTCGCAGAGGTTTAGTGAGCTTTCTTCTTTGCCAATAAGGCCTGAAAGTTACACTATTTATATAAATTGTATATTGTGCAGGGACAGAGAGAGAAGACTTACTCTACGTATGAAAAAAGTTTTTTGGGGGTTCTTGAAATGAAGGATCAGAGCTCAGTATGTGCAGAAACAGATCTGTCAAAAGCTCTCCACAGTCAACAATGGACCTCCTTTCTCCAAGCAGGACTTGGGCTACTGGACCTCTGAACTTACTCAGGACACACCGGGGTCTAACATGCAGTTCCCACTGCTGTGCAGCCTCAGGGCCTGGAAAGCCTCAGACAGCAGCGGGGACTTTGGGCCACTTACATAAAACTGAATTGTTTGTTCATTATGTCTCCTGTAAGTTTCCTGAAAATTGTTCAATTATTTTGAGCAGCAGGTAAGTCTGGAACAGGCTCATTAGAGCTCTGGATGGAACTCATGGGAATATATATTCTGCACTTGTATGGTTTTTGAATATGTATCCTGAAAGTCTCAAATGTCTTCCAAGCCTGCCCTCTATGTTGCCAGTATGTTCATTCTTAAATGGAGCACCATTTCTGGGCCCTTTGAAGGCCCACTTATTTTATAACATGAAAAAAGAAAAAACCCCACAGTATTTAGATTCTGTCAATCACTTCAAATTTTCAACCTTATAAGCTGAACAAAACACAATCCTTTATCAGCTCCAACCTGTGGGTTGCTGATTTTCAGGGTCCAGAGAATCAGCATACGCCCCGCACATCTATTTCATGTGGCCCACAACCCATCAGCATGCGTTCTCATCTCTTTAAATTCAGAATTCTATAAGACTAACAAATCAGATTTCTGGCTTGGTTAGTGGCCATCCCTGGTCCGGTCACTTGGTGGAGAGCATCGCGGAAAGAAGTAGGTATGGCACAGTACACTACCGTCAGACGGTTCCAGAGTTTGATTCCTCTTTGGGTCATGTTCTTGAACTGAGAATGGAGCAAGACTTGTCTTACTGAAACTCTCTGATGAAAGTGGCAGTGATCAGAGGCCCCATGACAGTTTCCAGCTTGCACAGAGATAACATGCAGCCCTGACAGGAACCATTCGGGGCATTGTCTGCATCAGTCACTTATGCACCGGTGTCAAGAATAACAGTAAAGACGAGTCACTGTCTGAGCTCTCATTGCTAAAATAGGCTTCTCTCTCTTTTTTCTCCACTTTTCCAAACTATCTCCTTCTTTCTCACTAATGTTTACTTGGAAATAAGTCTGTGCTGATGGCCTTTCCTGTAGCAAGAGTTCTGGAATATTCATTCCCCAGTAAGGAAAAGAACTGACAATCTCCAATTTCTGAGGTGAACTATGCCCACAAGCTCTGTATTTTCAGGAAAGGTGATGAGCGCGCCATCCTGTGGGTCTCTGTGCATGTTTGGCCTGCTCACATGGTTTGTATGCTGACCTGGCATTTCTCGGTTTTCAAAGTCTCTGTAGCCTCACTTCTTACTTATCAGAGTAGAAAAGACAGTATTTCTCAGCCTCCAAAGATTTCATTTCATACATCTCATTTCCGGGAGGTTTCCTGTGTCCCACTGTCTCCTGATCTCTTTCACTGATGTTCTTTCCTGTTCTTTCTATTCACCTGTGTCAAAGACAAAGCAGTACAGCTCATTTGGCACCAGAAGACCAGGGTGTTGGTTCAGTCCCTTAGTTACCAGCTCTTGTGAAAGTGCTTTCATCTGTGAGATGTGTCCTTCATGCACGATCAAAAGCTCTTTGGTCAAACTGGGCTTGATATCACCCACTGAATTATCAGTTATATGGATCAATAACTAGATTTTTCTTTAAACTAGCTTGAGTTGATGGTGTATTTTATTACCAACATTGTTTATTACCAACAATGTCCCTGGTCTTGAAACAAATTTCTGAGTCCTGTATTTGTCATGCATTTCTCCTTTTATGTCATGGACTTCCAGTTCACATTAACCTGCACAAGCATGCATGCCTGGAGCAGCCCTGGATCTTTTCTCTGTATAGACATGAATTTTCTTGATCATTCTATAGTAGTCCTTTCTGGATTACAGGTTGCCGAGGTTTGGGTTTTATCACTAAAGTTTGCAGCCATCAACTAAGGTTACTTCCCATGAAAATGACTATCCTGAAATTGAAGCACCAACTAATCTTCCCTTAGGGCTTCTCAGAAGATCTTCTGGAGTCAAGTGTCACCTCTCCTGCCATCTGCTCATGGCACAGGCTGGCATGCTGCTTTCTTCCCACTGTGGTTTCATCCTGCTCCTTGGCATGAGTAGGCTTTTAGCTGCAGGAGGGAGTCAAAATAAACCCTTGCCTGCGTATGAAGCCAGAGTAAATAAACACCTGGTGATGTGCCAAGTCCTGTCAGAGTATATGCATCTCTGTTCACCCACAAGAGACAAGCAACCTGGCTGGAGCCAGTTGGAGGCCACTGATTGCTCCCAGGACTCTGTGTTCAGTAGAATAACAGTATCGAGTGCAGAACTGGCAGAGACTCTGCCTAGCGCAGGCACTGCTGGGAGACACTGTCATATGTCCTGCTCTCCCCCGATCCTTCGAAGAACCCTGCCAAGAACAGGACCTTGGAGACTCAATAACATTATCTGTTTGTGGGACAGGCAGAAACAGGAGGATGGCATGGGAGTGAAAGAACGGGAGGAGAGCCAGGAGGACAAACAGAAGGAAAGGAGGAGCCCAACAACGCCTTTCTTGTATCCACCAGAAGTCAGACTGTCCCTGTAATATTAAGATAGTGATATTAAAGTTCAGTGCACACAAACTCTTTGTGCTGTTAATTTATGACAGTAGCCCTGGGGCAAAGTTGTGTCACTGGAAATATTTTTTTTTTAAATTTTATTTTGAAAGTAGTCAAATACAACAACAGAACAAGACAGAATAAAGCCAACTAAGATCATACAGTGAAATTGGTACAGAACTTCACAGCAGGTTACCAGGATAACAGTAATAGGTATCACAGTATATTTCGTTATCTTTATAATAGTTGTTCTTTCAATCACGTATATCAAAATGAGATGAAATACAGAACATTATAGAACTTATCAAAACAGAATATTGAATAGAGCAGTACAATTAATCAGAATAGAGCAAAACAGTAATAAAAATGTTTGCCTTCAAAGAGATGGTAGAAGGAAATCCCCTTTATTTGCTATGGTCAACCTCCCAGGAGACACTCAGATTTCTGGTTCCCATTTGCTAACGGAGGGGACAGAAGAAGGGGGGTATGGGAAGTGGGATGTTTGACTCTAGGCCATGCATCAGTAGGTTCACTATTGCTCACCAGGGAGGCAGGCTGGTTGTTTGGTTTCACAGCATCCAAAGTTCCAATATGGCGCGGGTCTCAGGAGCTGCTGCTGGTTCTCCCCCTGGAAGGGCCACAGTCTGGAAATATTTTTTTAATACAGAGAAAGATGGATAATAATTTTTTTGGATAATAAATCTTTAAACTGTATAAAAATATATACAGTCATAAAAGCCTCCTTTACAGTTCCAAATTCCTAGCCCTCTCTCTCTTTGGTTATCAGGTATTTGTTTTCTTTTAGACAAAAGTGAGTGTATGTGTGTGTGTGTGTGTGTGTGTACAGTCATCTCTGAGTATTAATGGGAGGTTGGGTCCTATACCAAACTCTCAGAGGCTCAAATTTGTTGTATAAAATGACACAGTATTTGCATATAACCTATGTACATCCTCCTATATATTTAAGTCATTTCTAGATTACTTCTAAAACCTAATACAGTATGTGCTATGGAAAATATTTTTTGGATAACATTGTTTCGGGAATGATAAACAGGGAGAGAATCTGCACATGTGCAGTACAGAAACAATTGATCTTTTAAATTTTTTCAGTCTGTAGTTGGTCACATTCATGAATGCAGATCCCAGCTGACTATATATGCATGTAACTTACACAAAAGTGCTTACTTATGCTCTTCTATACATTTTTTTTTCTCAATAAGATCTAGGCTCTTTCATGGCAGCACATTAACACAGTTTTTGAACGGCTGGTTGCTGGTCCACTGAATGGCTAGTTTATGTAACCAGTTCCCTAGGATGGCTGCCAGGGTGTTTACAATATGTATATCATAAATGATATTATTTCTTCTGTGTACATATCTACAGGACAAAGTCCTGACTTTGGAATTGACTCCAATGACTCTATGCTCTTTAATTTTTGATAAATAATGCCAAATAGATAGTGCTTTATTAATAATAAACAGTCAGTTGCCTGTATTGATTAGTATTGATCTGTTTGCATATAATTAGAAACCTAAAGTAGCTTTGATTTAACCACATATACATCCATTCTTGTGTGATAAAATAAGTCCCAAGGGAGACAGGTCAGTCCAGGGTATCAGAGTCATCAGAAGAAATGCCAGAGTCCTTCCTTCTGCCCCCTCAGTGGGATGTGTGGCTTCCATTCTCAAAGACACGTGTTGGAGCACTATACTTCACACCTGCCTTCCAAACAGCTGGAAAGAGCTGGAGGAGTGAGGGTACACCTCCCAGGTGAGTCAGCTCCCTTTGAAAATCCTTCTAGGAAGTCCCACATAAATTCTTGCTGATAGCTCATTGCCCAGAATTAAATTGTATGGCTACGCCTCATGATAAGTGAGACTGGGAAATGTAGTCTTTATTTGGGGCAACAAGGAAGCCTGCAGAACAATTAAAGTTCAGCTGCTAAGGAAGAAGAGAAAAGAGCCATTCTTTTTCCCACGTCATTATTCATCTTGATAAATTCCAACAATTCTGCTTGTTTTCAATTTTTTAACAGGAAGGGCCAGATATATCTACTCAAAACAAACAAAAAAGCTCCTTGACAACTCCAACATTTCTTGTGGCTCTGTTTCATCTGTCTACTATGTGCACATTTGGAAGTCTTCATTCTAGTGCAGTTAATCTGCATAAGCAGAACAGAAGTGCAGCTCTGTGCAGCTCTGAAAGAGAGCGCCGGTGCATGACTCTACTGGTTGTCATAAAGAAAACCCTGGTCCCGTGTATGGTGAGGCCCATGAGCCAATCATCTGGCTGTAACAGATATCAGAATGAAGCTGGTTTCCATTAACCAGTTTCCCCCTCCCTGTATCTTTATACCTGTGTTTACGAAAACATCAGTCACGTACAGTATTTTCATCTGTAAACATTTCTGCAGGTATCTCTAAAATACAAGAACTCTCTAAAAACCACAATGTTGTTATCACTTGTAAAATAATAATTGCTTAATACAAAAAGCAATGTTTCACTTAACCATGCCTCAAACTTTTCAGCAATTTGCTTGAATCAAGACTCCAAATGAGATCCCATATAGAGTTAGCTTTTATGACACAAAGTCCAGATTTGTGGCTCACATTTCGTATTCACACCTGTCGGATGATGGCTCTTACCTTACTTGCTTCTGGCCATCTGGATTTTTCCCTGCTCCAGTGCCTGAATGTCTTTGCTTTCAAGCTCTCTTGGTTACCATCTTGAGTAGTTATCAGCCACGAATGTCCCAGAGCAGTCCCAGTTGGTTTTTCCTGCATAGTTTCCTATGGCTGTTCCCAAAAATAGAGAAACCATTACAGTGGTATGTGGAACTCTGTGACCCGGCTCCAGGGAGGTGCCTGACTCAGATATTCATCTGAGATAAAACCAAGTACATTCCTGTTAGGATGAAGTCACTTTTATTCTAACCCAAAACTGCTCTTTTTCTGACCCAAATTTTAGAGGCTCTTACTGGTCTTACTAGTACTCAGATCCATGCTCCCATCAATAAATGCCCCACAGATTTCATCTGTTCAATCCTGGATCTCTCTGCCTCTTTCTTTGGTCTCACGGGCACACTGAAGTCAGGTCTCATACACTAAGGTTGGATCTTGAGAAACAGATCCCTACATTGCAATTGGTAACTATGAGTAAATCTCCAAAATTGACGTGTAGGTTTCCCCTCCATGTCTTGTTTACTTAAAATTAGAGAATTATGGAAAATTTAAACTGCATACAAAAGCCTGTAGGCACTTGAGTTTGCAACCAGTGGTCAAACTAATACAAAAATCTCCTCTTTCTCTGCTTCTCACCCTCCTTTTAGACTCCTCTCTTCCTAGACCAACACAACGGCCCACCCCAAGCATCCTAGGCACCACTGCATTCTCCAGCATGTACAGATCTGATCTTTCATCTCTTTGCTTAAATCAGAAGAGTAAAATAAATAGATTAAAGCCATTGACAAGAAAATCATATTTGTTTTCTTGTGCTATTCAAAAAGCTTCCCTGAAGACAGCTTCTAAGTACAACTTTCATTAACAGTAGGGGTTCACTTGGATATATACCAGAGACCAAGTGTGCAGTAAAGTATTTGAGTGATGAAGTCTCCTGTGTGCCACAGAAGCAGCATGGATCTGGACCTGGTGCGTATACGACTCCCATGGTTAACACTGGAGCTGCAGGAATGTCCTGAGTCAAACTGCTAGGGTTATTTCCAAAAGATGAAAAATATTAACAAAAGATGAGAAATATAAAATAAAAAGCGGCCTTTATTCTGAGAACACGGAGAGAGATAACCGGCACCCCCACCGCTGATCTCTCCGGCGGACACGTGGCATGGGGGCCCGTAAATAGCCTCGGTTTGGGGTGGAACCTAAGGAGGGCATTAGGGATACACAGGTAGCCCATTGGTCCTAGGTTTGGCGCCATATGTAAATTTCCAGGGGCGGGAAGATGGCGTCACAGGTAACTTCCTAGGGGCGGGTGAGATGGGGCTTCCTGCTTCCGGTTGTGGCTTTCCTGGCTACAGTGTCCTATCTGGGCCAAAACCCTTTCACAAACTACAATCCACTTTCCCGGCTTCCATTCTGTTCCTCCTCTTAGAAGAGATTCTTTCCTGATTTGGTTCTTGTCTCTTCAGTTTGGCCCTGCTCATGCCCTTGAGTATCTCTGATTACAACCTGCTTGGCTGCTGATTTTTACTTTCTGTTCTAAGAGCCCAGAGTGTCCTCTCTTCCTACCTGGGGACCTACACATTTTCAGAGCTGTCATTTCTCACCGACTCTACATACCTTTCTGACAACACACACACACACAGGAGCACATACTCTACTATCAAAGACATGAAATCAGATCATTTGTCCTTAATTAACCTCATTAAATTATCACCATATTTCCAACCTCTTTCTATGCTGAAGGAATTCACCACCTATTGCAGTGATGACATTAGAACATATACAGCAATGAAGCATCTACTCCCACTCGAATGTAGTTGCAAAGGTCTAGTTTGGGTGGGAGATCTGGTATTTGAGCTAATAGATTCCCTGGGATGTTGAATAATCAAAATTTTCTATACTGACTAATGTATAAGGTGTGCCCAAATGTAGGCTCAAGTTGGGGGCAAAGACATACTCAGGACACCTTGTTTCACCAGGCTCAGAGAATACATTACACTTTTAAAGTCTGAGATTTGAATCTGTGCAGCAGCCACAGGAGGGCACACAGCAGGTACAGAGGTACTTTTCCGTTTGTTTTTTCTGTTTTCTTGTCCTTCCTTGGTCCCAGTGTTCCTAGGATATCTGTACAAAATGGCCTTCCAAACTAATTTTCTCTCTAGGAGTCCATCTCTGCACTTTTCAGTGAAGTAAATGGATATCTGCCCAGTAACTACCCTTTGCCTGGACTTTCTGCTTTCCAGAAATTGAGCCTGGCTCTGGCTAACTAATCCTGCTCCATCAGGAAGGAGCAGGCTGCTGTGAAATCCCACAGCCAAGAAGCAGCGTCCAGCAGAGGGGAGATCACTCTAAGCTGGGCATTCGAAGAGCCTCAGAAGCCCCGCCCATCCCCATCAGCACTGAGCACTGGGCGCCACTGAGAACTCAGAGTGGGTCATTTGATCTTTGTTATTTTTACCACAGCGCTGGCAGCTATTTTACCAGGGAATCCGAAGAAAGTTATCCTTCTACCTGCTAAGTGCAGATCAGGAAAACAAGCAGCCTTTGAGAGAACAAAGATCTTGAACCAGTTAGCAAACTGGGACTGAAACTCAGGCCTGCCTCTGACCAAGGAACACTGGACTCGAAAAGCTGTATGCACGAAAGTGCCTTGGCCACATCAATATCAATTATTTCAGTGCAGCGTATTTGCACTGGAAAGGACCTAAAGAGGAAATGTCCAGTGTCATTCTCTCATAAATCTAGTTAAAGGATGTTGGCGGTAAGCATCTAATTGGTAGCTGAACAAGTGAAATGCACACACTTCTGCTCCATTTCAGACAAAAGCCTTAACAGAGAGATAGCAGTGATGGCAAAATTGCCATGCAAGGGTAGCCTGTAGTTCTGTCTTTCCACAATACTGCCCACTTCCATTTCCATGGAAAATACTACAGAAAATACTGAATGCGACATTTCTGCTAAATGTAGGTGAAGCGGAAAGGTTAAGTGACCTGACAAAATATTTCCCCCACAGAATCCATCCAGCTCTGTGTGCTTTGCTTCATGTACCCATTCCATCTTTAGTTTGTTATTTTAAAATGTCAAGGAAGGAAAAGGTCATTTGCATACATGCAGCCTTTCCATCAAGAGCTAAGCCACCAGAACTTGTCAAAAAAAAAAAAAAAAAAAAAAGCCAACCACAGATCCTTTCTCTGTTGTGCACAGATGGCAGCTGAGAGCAAGATGCCACCGGAACTGGCAGCAAGGGTCCGGCTGCTGTCAATCATCTCAGGCGAGCTCACTTACTGAGCAACTGTCAGTGTGCGTCTTCACCTGAACATGGTAAAACATCTCTTTAATTCACCTCTACTGTCTAGTTGTGCAGCATTAAGACCTCCAGTTATGGAGCATTTATAACCACATTTCAGCAACAACTTTACAAGGATCTGCGATTTATCACACAAAATGATAAACAGCTCTGAAGGTGAAACAATGCTCTGATCTGTGCTGTGTGCTGTTTCTGTGGTGCAAATATTCACCTGGGCAAAGTTCAAGCTTCCAACATACCGGAGATAATGGTCACTGGCCGGAGGGCAGCTGTAAGCCACACAGGCCCCCATCAGTGCGCTGCCCAACCTACAGAATCTTACTCCCCCATCTTCCTTTTTCACAACACAGAATGACTCTAAAAGGGAAATAACTCTTCCTCTCACAAATGGAGCTATTATAATTTTTTATTTTGTATTACTTTTCGTTTTATCCTAGTCAAAAACAGAAGCAAATCAGGTGCTTTCAGAAAACCACCGCTGCCCTTTTTCTCTCTCCTGACCAATACTGATGTGATTCCAACGTTGCAGCTCAGCTAAGGTGCAGACAGCACAAAACCAGTTTGGTCTGAAAGGTTGATGTGTGCCCAAGAGTAGCTGAATAAGCGTAGGATTAAGTAGGCATTAAGCATAGAAGCTAGAGTCCAAACAAACTGGACTCAAAGTCTGTCCTTTTAGAAAAAGATGGGCAATTTAGGGTAAATTCCAGTGACCTCTCCTAACCTCCTGACACTGATGTAAAATAAAAAAGCTAACAGCTCCTATGGTAAGGGTAAAAGTTACATAACAATGGTTCAACACTGGCACTTAAAGTTCTGTAAACAGTAACTCTGTTCTTTCTCCTGTTGCTTAGGTTTTATCTCCACTTTGTAGCTACCTAACTAGTTTATTGTGACCCCCCCACCCCACCCCCACCCGTCTGTTTGCCAGGGCTGACTTTGTGTCCAGAGGCCTAGGGGACTTTAGCTAACAGCCCCTGTAGCGCTGCAACACGGCCTTTTCTTTGCTTTTCCTTCTTAAATTTTTGGTCTTAGGGATTAAAACTAGGGGCTCATAAGTGCTCCTCAAGCACTGTACCATAGAGCCACACCCCAGCTTTTTTTATTTATTTATTTTTATCTAAGACATGGTCTTGCTAAGTTGCCTAGGTTGACCTTGAACTGCTTTGGGCTCTCATGTACCTTGGATTATAAGTGTGCATACCATGGATGGCTTTTTCAAAGTCATTAATTTAAGAAAAAGAATTTTTGTTTTGTTTTTGGTACTGGTGATGGAATCCTCTGCCTCACACAGGCTAGTCAGATGCTTTATCATGGAGCTACTTTCCTAGCACTTGTATTTTTTATTTAAAAGAAATGCTGTAACAGATGTTTCCAGCAGCAAACCCTAGCCAGCAATGCACAGAGTCTTTGGAAGTGAAGGTCATGGTGAGGACTGGGGACATGGATGCTGGGTTCTATCTGAGCTTCCCAATGCCCCAGCCTGGAGTTGGCTGGCAGCAGGAGCTCTTCTGTGTTTGCTGGTGCTCTGAGTTGTGCCTCGCCTGACGTCTCCTCCCACGCTCTCTGCCCAGCTTCTCTTTTCCCTCATCCCTTTGTTGAATTTCTCCAGCCCTGCTTCCTTCATAGACCACACCCAGGGTCAGAAACAACTGTGAAAGCTGATCATGATCCTTCTGTTTCTGTGCCATTTTATAGTTTCCAAACACTTGTACTTTCATACATATTTGGAACTTATCAAAAGCCTCAGAGGGGTGGGGTTGACTTCACTTCACAAATGTCCCAAAGAGTT